GTCATTTTTCTTATAGTCACGCTAAAGTTTCTAGAAAATTAACAACCTGTCAGTTTTCTGTCTACAAATCGAAACTCATTCACTGGAGTGACAGAGAAGTCTGGATTCATTAGCGCTGTGACACACTGCACAGGCTGGGAGATGAATGGACTGCACTGTGACATCATGGAGAGTCACCAGCTACAGGTTGGTGGTGCAGAAGGATGAAGAGGACTAAAGGACATTGTGCGTCCGGGGACGGCCGTTCACAAGGACGGCCTGCAGTCTCTGCTCTGCCTGGCTCTAACAAATGCCTAATATACATACACATGTGAACATGAGTCACTGCCGCAAGTCATGGTATTGTGAACGAGTCTGTCACTGCCGAGCAAGACCCCCTTTCCGGCTATCAGAACTGTATGACCTCATGTGGCTTCAGACAAGGATGGAGCTTTGTCTGTTTGCTGCTTATGCATGTGCATTTCCTTCTCAGCAGCATTGAAAAGTAGCCTGCGATAATAAAAACAAAACAAAGTCTGATGTTTAGGGTAACAAGCGTCACAATCACACTGCCAAAATCACAGCCATTTTATTATTTGACGATGGAGACTGGACGTTCTATACACGTCCCCAAAAAAATCTTCAAAGTATTTGCTGCCAGTAATTGCTGGCAATTTCCAACCCCAACTGTCAAACTGACAGCCGGGAGTTACGGTGCAAATAGATTCCCTGCAGAAGCTGCTGTCAAAAAATGGACCATATGACACCATATCAGTGTTTATAAACATTGATCAGAGGGAGATAGAGAGATACAAAGTAACATTGTTTCTAAACATTGATCAGAGGGGGAGATAGAGAGATACAAAGTAACATTGTTTCTAAACATTGATCAGAGGGGGAGATAGAGAGATACAAAGTAACATTGTATATAAACATTGATCAGAGGGAGATAGAGAGATACAAAGTAACATTGTATATAAACATTGATCAGAGGGAGATAGAGAGATACAAAGTAACAATGTTTATAGACAATGATTAAAGGGCAGAAGAGAGATACAAAGTAACATTGTTTATAAACATTGATCAGAGGGAGATAGAGAGATACAAAGTAACATTGTTTATAGACATTGATCAGAGGGGAGATAGAGAGATACAAAGTAACATTGTTTATAAACATTGATCAGAGGGAGATAGAGAGATACAAAGTAACATTGTTTATAGACATTGATCAGAGGGGAGATAGAGAGATACAAAGTAACATTGTTTATAAACATTGATCAGAGGGAGATAGAGAGATACAAAGTAACATTGTTTATAAACATTGATCAGAGGGAGATAGAGAGATACAAAGCAACATTACTTCGGACAGCAGTCCAAACATGACCAGGGTTCTAACATAACCCATTCCAAAACTAAAGTTGGCCATTCACGTATTCTGACAGCATCACACCCTACTGTGCCGGAGAAACCAGCCCCCGGATATACAGAGTTCCCCTTTAATTTTGCATCTGCTGACAGACTACAAAGCTCTGTGGAATAGTTGGGTTTCCGTACATGGCAGTCAATAGCTCAGTATAATTTCTTATTCACAGGCACACATGGGGTCTCCTATGAGAAGATGGGAGAGGTGTCAGCACGGATCAGCGTTCATTATTGATCACTCTGTCAGGCAGGACTGCCCCCTAATAGAAGCGCGAGGATTCCTCCTGTGCTCCGTATACAGACAACCAGGATGACCCACATCCCTCCAAACCCCTCCTCTCTGCGGCCAGTGTACGGCATACAGACATCATCCACGCTTCTGAATGAGTTGAGAAGACATCCCTCACATTCTGCTTACCTAAGAATCCAAAAACTGGCATTGTGTGTTTTTATTTCCTGCATTTAAAGCTGAACTCTGGACGCAACAAACATTCATTTTATATTACTCTTCAATAGCCAGAAAGGATATAAATCCACTTTGTAAGCAGCAAAATGCTTTTGGAAAACTGTATCTAGCCATATAAAAAGGTAGCAGTGACATCATCACTATGCTGTACATAAGACTGAACAGAGAGTATGGCTGTGGCAGGGACCATAAAAAATACATACAATACAGGAAACTACAGGAGGGGGCAGAGACAAGACCAGTCAACCCGCGCAAGGAGAGAGGACAGCAATGACCGGTCTTTATTACAGAGGGGGCGGAGACAAGACTAGTGACCCTGCACAAGGAGAGAGAGCAGCAGTGAGCGGTCTTTATTACAGGAGGGGGCGGAGACAAGACCAGTCATCCTGCACATGGAGAGAGCAGCAGTCTTGGGGCTTTTGGATGTCTACAGAAGGAGACTATTACAGGTAAATGACATGAATAAAATACACAGAGAAACTTGCGGAAAGATTGTTGGGGATATTAACGGTCTGGACGCCAATTATGAGCATCCATCAG